TTAGCATTAGGGGTAGGGTTTAGGGTTAGGTTTATTAATAAATGAGTATATGTGGGTTTTATAGGCTCTAAGGGTGGGTATGAAAGGTCTCCAGTTTCATTTTGATCAGATTTCATTTTAATCTGCGACAGTAATTGTTGGTAGTGTGGGTATAGTAACAGGATTACGTAATGCAATAGAGTATAATAAGTCTAATAGGTTGGTATTGAGATTAAGTTTGTTGGAGAGGTTGTATGTTTTCTTTTCTATGAATTTAGCAGCAGAGTTGGCTGCAATATTAAATATACATTTGCTTAGAATGTGGGTTGAGTTTAAAGTACATCCTGTACATGGTGTGCAATTATAGTTTGGTGAAGGGTAAAGATTTGTATGTTGATGATTAAACTCTATATTCCAGTGTATAATAGATATAGTATCATCTGATTAGTTATATCTTCTTGCTTTTTCAAGAATTATATTCTGATCTGTATTGTAAATAATAAGCCAGGGTTTGAGTTTAGTTTTAAAGTATCCAGTAGTAAATGATAGAGAGTTTATATTAGTTAGCTCTAGTAGTGGGTCTATTTGTCTTGTATCTAAATTTGAGATAATTTTGTTTTCTAGTGTTGTAAATCACAAGAGCTTATATCCTTTAGGCAGTTGTTGTATTCGTGATGAAATGTTTTCCAATCTAGTAAGGTTGAGTTATCATATGATATAATTTGTTCTAGATAAATAATTTGTTTGTGATGTAGTTGTTTTTGAATTGTGAGTATAGGTTATGCATATTTAATACTTTTTCAATTGAGTGTATAAGTATTGAAGTGTATAGAGACAGAGGTAGTTTGAATAAGTATTAATGTGGAGTTGAAGGTAGTTGAAGAGTTGTATAATTTTGTATGTTGTTGTGTTTTTGTTAGATCCATCGATTATTGGCAGAGGGTGTTGTAGAATATTAGTTGTTGACTACAGATTGTTTTGTAATTGTTGAAGTCTGATATGTATACTACTTCCCATAAGGTTTTAATCATTAATTCTAAGTAGGAAGTTGGAGATATGATGTTGTAGTTGAATATCCTATATATTTTTAATACTATAGATATTATGGTTAAGCATAGTGCTATTGGGTATAGTGATTGATAGTTTTGTTTTGTGTTTGACGGTCATCAAGTATTGTGCTAGAATTAAGTTACATATATTATGTAATAGTACTATGTTATATAAGTAGCCTGTTTGTCAGTAATGTTTTTGGTTTTAAGTATATCATTGAGTCTAAATGCTTCCTATTTGATGAGTTTGACTTGGTAGCATATTTTAGAGTTGCTGTAAACCAGCACTTTAAAAATTTAAATGGGGTGTGTTGAGGTTGTATTTGGATTGTGTAATCTATAAAGTTGATTTGAGGTGTTGAACGAGTATTAGATATTAGGATTGATTTGTGTGGATTTACTTTGATATAAACCATCATATAAAATGAGGATGCAGTTTGGACAATTTGTTGAAGTTGACTTGCTGATTATGCAAACTATAGTGTATCATCCATATATGCTAGAACAGGTGTTGAGGATGATTCAGATTGGTATTTGTTTAGGTTGAGCTGAGTGAGCCATTCAACTATAGAGGAGTATCCTGAGTATTTCTAAATATACAGTTGATTAAGGGGTCATAGTAAATTCATCATAGAAGAGGTGTTATAGTCTCCTCTTGGTCTATACCATCTTATACTGTATAAGGAGGGGTAAGGCCTAGATTAGTGATTATTTGGTTAGATCAGTTATGTAGTAGGTTTGTAATAATGTTTATAAGTTGAGGTGGCATGTTAAGTCACTATAATGCTCTAGTAAGGAGGTTTATGTTTACTGAATTATAGGCTTTACTTATGTCTTGTGATAGAATCCATATTTGTTTTTTGCTACAGTTGGTATTTTCTAGGAAGTTGTTGAGGATATGTATAGGGTGATTAGTTGAGTTGCTAGAAAGAGCAACATAGTTATGAGGGTTAAGTATAGAATAAGTTGTGAGAACTCGTGTTAATCAGTTAGTAAGAATTTTAGTATATAGTTTTTTAGTGTGTTTAATAAGACTAATTGGACGAGTATTGTTGAGGTTATCATCAAATTGAAGTTTTTTGGATATGGGGTAAATTCTGCTATTTTTCTACTATTTTGAAATATTTTGCATAAGAATACATCTGTTGAAAAGGGCTATAAGAGCTGATAACATGTTAGGTCCAATATGTATAATCATTTTATAACTGATACCAGACGGGCCATATGCTTTATTATTTGGGAGTTGTTGTATTGTTTGTAGTACTTCTTCAGTACTAATCTCTGTGAATATAGGTGTATACTAGTTTATATCAATATCAAAATTAGGTTGGTATTCTGTTTGCTAATATTTGTTGAATATGGTTTCATTGTATGGGTGATGAGATGTCCAGTCATTAAAATGGTTGCTAATATATTGTTTAATTTCTGTTGGATTAGTGATAATGTCAGTATTAGTTTTAATATTATATAATTTTACTATATTTTTATATCTATTAAATATACTATTAATCATTTTAGTTGGTTAGTTAGTTAGTTGTTCACATCTATTATTAATAGCAGTGTTGATATATTTATGAAGTTGTTAAGCATTTTTCAGATTCCTAGCATTGTATAAGGTTTTTTAATAGGATTTAGTATTTTGTGTCCATGTTGCTAACTCAGATTGATCACAGGATAGTGGATTGATAGAAAAGTTATGTTTAGTATTTATATTATCTATTAAACTATGTATATTGTTTGGTAATGAAGTATTGTTTGAGAAGTATATTTTAATATGATAGATAATATATCCAATTATTTTGAGATCTTTATATAGCTGAATAGCTTTAGAAGTAAATATATGATGCAGATTTTTAATAGTATACTTTTTGTTAGGAATATGTTGAAGTGTAGCAGTAATAATACATTTATTGATTTTGTGCCAAGTTTTTTCTAAGCTTTCTGTTGTATTGGTTGTTGTTGCGATTTTGTACTGGATCATGTTGGAGTTAATTTGGTTAGTAAAGGTTTTCCAATTTTCTTTACTCATTGACTTATAGTTGAATACTCTTCTTTTGCATTTGCTTTTGTGTTGTGTTTTGGATAAGGCGAATAGAAAGATCTATTTAGAAATTAGAATTTGATGATCACTGTTTGTAGAGGAGGATGAGTTATCAATTTCGAACTTGTGGAGGTATTGTATAAAGTATCACATAACTATATATAGTTAATTCTGCTTTAGTAGTGTGTGCTTAGTCAAGTGTTTTGTATGTTATTTGTGTGGTCTGCAAGGTCGTATATATTTATACTATGTAGATAGTTGAGAAGTTGAAATTTGATAGCTGAAAATATTGTAAGATTGTTATTTGCATTAAAATCTCCCAAGATTATAGGCTGTAAATTAGAAGCTATAGCTTGTTATATCCACAGTATAACCTTGTTTTGTGTTAGTTTATAGTCATTTGTGCTGGTTGATGATAGATAGACAGATATAATTCTAAATTTGTAGTCATGTTTAAAGAATAGGTCTATAGCAATTGCCCCATCTGAGTAGATGAGAATATTGTGAATATGAGGTTAAATATAGTTTCATATCATAATACAAGTACCTTCTTTAGTTTCTAAGGAATTTTGATCAGTAATATTAGTAGTGTTGTGTGTTGTAAAATTTTGTAGGTATAGTGTCTGAAATTTTAGTTTCTGTTAGACTAATTATGTGTAAGTTGTTAATTAGGCAGTAATTTTCTTATAAAAGTTGTTTTTCTGGATTGTTGTATCTTTGAATATTATATGTAGTGATATTTAGGTATAATGATGAGTTTGTAGGATACTGTAATAGGTTACTGTGTAGTTGGTCTTGTGAATTTTGGTTTAGATTATTTGTTTCTATTGTAGAAACTTCAGGTATAGATACTGGTGTTGATATAAAGATATCTGGCACTGTATTAGGTGCAGTATATTCAGAGTAAAATCTTAGTAGTATTTGAGAGTATTTTGAGTATTGGTCTGTTTGTAAAATAATGTGGTCTTTGAGTGGTTTGAGTTTATTGAGGAGATATATGTGTAATTTACTATAATCTTTTTTAATAGAAACAATTAACTTGTATAGGTATCTGTTAAATGTATGTTTGATTTCATTAATATATGCAAAGAATGATTTTATAGTTTGAGGGTGTGGTAGTAGAGGTAAGAATTGACTAAATAGATATTTATTATAACAAGTATAAAGGATGAAGTCAGGTTTAGGTAGTTGATTATTTGGCAAGTCACAGGAGGTAGATGATGTTAATAATGACTTGTTATAGTTGTCTTTTACAAGGTCGCTCACCATATACCTAATTTGCACAGTTTTTAGATTACTTGTAACCTGCTCTGTATGTTGAGTCTGGCTAACATAAACCTAGAATTCTAGGTAAATAGGCTTTCCCGCCTACCTACTTACATCATTCTCTTTACCAACTACTGTGGGTATATCTTTTGGTAAAGCGGTAGCTGCATCTATAAGTTTTGTAAAAGACAAGTTTATTGAAAAGAAGGTTGGGATTCATTGAAGAATAAAGTTTTTTCAATAGAATGAGGTGTGATAAAATACATATTGAATTTTTTTACATGAAATTGTTCAGCTTCTGGATAAGCTGTTTCTTTAAAATATTTTGCAATTTGTGAATAGTTTAATTTTTTATTTTTGGAGTCATAGTAGGTTATAATTCTTGCTAAAAGTTCAGTGCTGATAGGTTTAAGGGTAAGTGTATCTATAGCTTGTTGTCTGCTAAGTTGTTCTATATTG